AGAGAGGGGGTTTCACTGTGTTAGCCAGGATGGTCTCGATCTCCTGACCTTGTGATCCACCCACCTCAGCCTCCCAAAGTGCTGGGATTACAGGTGTGAAACACCGCACCCGGCATATATATATATATATGTGTGTCTCTGTGTGTGTGTGTGTGTATATATATATGTATATGTATATGTATGTATGTTTTTTGTTTTTTTTTTTTAAGATAGGGTCTCTGTCACCCAGGCTGAAGTGTGGTGGTGCAATCATGGCTTGTTGTAGTCTAGACCTCCTGGGCTCAAACGATCCTCTCACCTCAGACTCCTGAGTAGCTGGGACTATAGATGCACACTACCACACTTGGCTAATTTTTAAATTTTTTGTAGAGATGGGATCTCATTGTATTGCCCAGGCTGGTCTTAAGGATAGGTCTTGAGGATAGGTCTTCCTATCCTCAAGCAATCCTTCTGCCTTGGCCTCCCAAAGTGCTGGGATTATTGTCTTGAGCCACCACACTCAACCTCTGTATACTATTAACAGCAACTCCCTTTCATGCTCAAAACTGTCCTGATTTGGATGATAAATTATATGGTTTATATGGATCATGAATTATACTATACGCTGCACCACTGGTGACTAAGTAACCATATGTCCTCCTTTAGGCAGAAGAAACCTGGGTTCCAATTAATGATCTCTTTGGATGTATTTATTCTCCCAAATATCTACCACTGAAACATTCTGTTCCTAACAGATTTCCATTGCCCTTCACACTCTCCCTTTTCCTTCCTTTCTCTGAGTTAAACATATTGCTGATTTTTTTCATCTTCCAAAAGATTCCCAGAGCTGACCTTCTTGTCTCTCAAATCATATTTGTTTTTCTCTAAGTGGAGAATCTTCTCCTAGATTATACAACCTCCCTCGTAAAAACCTGGGGAGCAGGAGGGAGGTGTGGAGACTTCCCTAGAGCATGCGCATTCTTTATTGCTTTATTCCTTGTCCTGCACTGGCATAAATGCAGTTAGCTGCTTGGTGATTTAACATACAACAGTCAGACAAAATGAGATCTAAGAGAAAACCCAGAGTTCAAATTAAGCTGGCAAATTTATAGGCTAATTTGTGGCAGTTTGTTCCACCAAAAATACAATTATTTTGCTGAAGGCCTTCTATTCTAATGCTTACAAGGAGTAGCACCATTCCAGGGTGAGGTTTTAGCTGCAATTCTATCCCACTAATTATCTGTTTTACTGTAGGGGAGCCTTCACTTCTTAGTTACTATGGACTATAACTGCTTTATGTACATAACGAAGAAACTATAAAGTTGATAATCTTGAAAACGACTTATTTGTAAAATTCTATAATTCTAAAATTAAAAAGTTATACTAGTCAGGACTTGTTAATTATAAGCTTTAAAACTTGGAAACAGGCCCGGCACGGTGGCTCACTCCTGTAGTCCCAGCGACTCGGGAGGCTGAGACTCAAGAACTGCTTGAACCCCGAAGGGAAAGGCTGCAGTGAGCTGAGATCACGCCGCCGCACTACAACCTGGTTGACAGAGCAAGACTCTGTCTCAACAACAAAACAAAACAAAACAAAAGACCAACTTGGAAACAGTACACATATTTTCAAATTTTATGTACCACAAATGATATACGGACAAATTAGCAACAAACTGGGTAATGCAACCCATCGGATCAAATCTAAATGAATAGCTGACTGTAAATGTGTATCATTAGAGAGAATGTAAGAAGTTCTTGCTTTCAACAGCCTCTACTATCTCATCTGAAGGGGAACCCTGAACTATCTTCTGGCGTTTTGAAGTGAGACCTGGCTACCATTACACTCTGATTCATAGTCTCTGGTTTTCCTTGTCATTTTACCCTGCCTCCAGGAGCCTACCTATTACCCAAATAAAGGAAGCCAAACTCAAAAATCTTATCATGGAATCAGAGGGTTGTGATCAATATGAACTATATCTAAACATTTTTTCAAAAAGAAAGGATTCTCTGGAATTAGCCTCCTTTTTGTTGAGGACCCAAAAACCACAATACGTATACCCAAGATAAGGCCAAGGGGTAAGTGCTAAAATTCCCAGTATTGGCCGGGCGCGGTGGCTCACGCCTGTAATCTCAGCACTTTGGGAGGCTGAGATGGGTGGATCACAAGGTCAAGAGTTCCAGACCAGCCTGGCCAATATGGTGAAACCCCATCTCTACTAAAAATACAAAAATTAGCTGGGTGGGGTGGCGGGCACCTGTAATCCCAGCTACTCGGGAGGCTGAGGCAGAAGAATCGCTTGAACCCGGGAGGCAGAGGTTGCAGTGAGCCAAGATTGCGCCACTGCACACCAGCCTGGGCAACAGAGTGAGACTCTGCCTCAAAAGAAAAAAAAATCCCGGTATGACACTGTACATCACTTCTATTTGTTTTTTTGTTTGTTTTGAGAGAGGGTCTCACTCTGTCACCCAGGCTGGAGTGCAGTGGGTTCACGTAATTCTCGTGCCTCAGCCTCCCGAGTAGCTGGGACTACAGGGGCCTGCCACCACGCCTGGCTAACTTTTGTATTTTGAGTAGAGACAGGGTTTCACCATGTTGGCCAGGCTGGTCTCAAACTCCTGTCCTCAAGTGATGATCCGCCCGCCTCGGTCTCCCAAAGTGCTGGGATTACAAGTGTGAACCACCACTCCTGGCCCACTTCTATTTGTATTTCACTGTTCTTTAGTTACAACAGAAAGCAAACATACCAATACAATTAAGAAGTAACCACAAATATACTAAATGCACAGATTTGTGGCTATAACTCCCTCTTATTCCCTGGTGTCTGCCTGAGTCTTAGTTCAGCCCTATATTTACAGGGTAGAAAGAACACTTAGTAATCAGAAGAAGTGAAAAAGGATTGGAAAAAAAAGGAGAATGGGGGAATTTACAGAGAAGAAAGAATATTTGCTGTAAGACTTTGTATTCATAACAAATGCTCTTGGGAGTTTATTTTTACAGTGATCTCTAAAACCAATTGCCCCACATAAGAAAAGCATCTTGAATATATGTTAGTAATTTATGTGGTCAAAAACTGCTAATTAATGATGTAAATTAAGCATACAAATAAAAAGCAAGGGCTTTGAAAATAATAAAGTATTTTTTAGAACCTGGAAAATTATAATATCAGTAAAAATAAAATTAAGTGATGAGCATCTCCCAACCTGGGATATTTTTGTTCTCTATCAATCGGCAGCATCATAGCCAGCTGACAGAGCGTAGAGAGGCGGTGGGGAATTCTGAAGGCTATGAAGAATGTGACAGCCTGACATATGATTTGGACTTTATAGAAACAGATAAGATCATAACTCAGCTCAGGCTAATATAATATCGTATTGTTTCTGCTTTACTATACCTCATACCTACAACCGCAGCCCAGGAAACAGGTGTATAATAATAAGAAAAAAATGAAAGTTATGGAGTAGAGTTACCCTTCTAAATGGAACATCAAGGCAGGTGGGAAGAACCCCTTTACCGCTGGTCTTTACAAGCAATCGGAGGGAAGTACGTAGAGAGCAGGTGTGTATTTGATAAACACAATGGAATGCTAAAAACCATAGTAAAACAACAAATTAGGTAGGTATTTACTTACAAGGAGTTCCTCTGCTGGCTTCCTCCATAGTTACCCTGACATAGGGCTTACTAAAGTCAACTTCAATTTCATCAGAAAAAGGAGCTGGTTTCCGTAAGCCCTTAAGAGAAGGAAAGTGAAGGAAAAGAAAGTTCAACTCAATGGCATACACTGTAATACTAAAAAAAAAAAAGGCAGCTTTAAAGACAAATCAGTTATTCAATATGATGTGATTAAAATTCTTCCTAAAACATTGTAACATAAGAAAGAAGGAAAAAATGGTATTCCAAACTGACAAATGAAAGTTGCAACCTTTTACAAAATGGGTAAATTATGGCATGAAAAATAAATGTCTTGCTGGTGACTTCAGGTTCAGACTGAGCAATCTGGCTGGGAATCCAAGCACAGTCCCAACTAACTGGGTCCAGAATGATGGCTCCTCTGCAGCAAGGCAAAACAGCCACCCCTATATCATGTGACAAATTGCCAAGGTTCCTAAGTGCATTTTCTTCGTTTTCTCTTTTTTTTTTTTTGAGACAGTCTCGCTCTGTTGCCCAGGCTGGAGTGCAGGAGCATGATCTCGGCTCACTGCAACCTCTGCCTCCCGGGTTCAAGTGATTCTCCTGCCTCAGCCTCCCAAGTAGCTGAGATTACAGGTACCTGCCACCACACCCAGCTAATTTTTGTATTTTTAGTAGAGACAAGGTTTCACCATATTGGCCAGGCTGGTCTTGAACTCCTGAGCTCAAGTGATCCGCCCACCTTGGCCCTCCCACAGTACTGGGATTACAGGCATGAGCCACTGTGCCTGACCCATAAGTGCATTTTCACACCACTTCCACTAAGAGACTGGGAAGGCAAACAACTCCTGGGTGCTTTATTAAGTATAACTATCACTGTATAGTGCTTGACACTGTAACTATGTTCTAATGCTCATAACAGCCCTGTAAGGCAAGAAGTACTATAACTGGTATCCTCAACTTAAGGATGAGAGAAACGAGGCAGGGCACAGTGGCTCACAACTGTACTTCCAGCACTTTGGGAGGCTGAGATGGCCAAATCACCTGAGGTCAGGAGTTCGAGACCAGCCTAGCCAACATGGTGCAACTCTGTCTCTACTGAAAATACAAAAATTACGGTGGCGCACCTATAATTCCAGCTACTTGGGAGGCTGGGGCAGGACCATCACTTGAACCCAGGAGGCAGAGCTTGCAGTGAGCTGAGATCACACCACTGCACTCCAGCCTGGGCCACAGAGCAAGACTCAGTCTCAAAAAAAAAGATGAGAGAAAGGAGGTTCAGAGAAGTTATGTAAATTGTACGTAGTTACTCAGAGGCCAAGCTGAAATTATTATGCAGGCATGTTGATCTGTCTATTATAGATGGCTTCATTTAAGAAATTTTGTTATTCCCGCCTGTAATCCCAGCATTTTGGGAGGCCGAGGTGGGTGGATCACGAGGTCAGGAGATCGAGACCATCCTGGTTAACACGGTGAAACCACGTCTCTACTAAAGATAGAAAAAATTAGCCGGGTGTGCTGGTGGGCACCTGTAATCCCATCTACTCGGGAGGCTGAGGCAGGAGAATCGCTTGAACACGGGAGGCAGAGGTTGCAGTGAGCCAAGATCACGCCATTGCACTCCAGCCTAGGCGACAGGGCAAGACTCCATCTCAAAAAAAAAAAGAGTTTTTTTTATTCTTAAATATTTTATTCTACTTGATGCTGTTGTGAATGGAATTGTTTTCTTAATTTTATTTTTGGATCGTTCCTTGATATTATGTAACAGTGCAATTGATTTGTATTTGTGTTTGTGTAATTGAAATTTTCTGTATATTGATCTTATGTTCTATGATTTTGCTAAAGCTAATTCTCAGTTCTAGTATTAGCTGTTGTTTCATAGATTCCTTAGCATTTTCTACATATAATAACATCATGTTGTCTGTGAATAAAGATAGTGTTGCTTATTCTTTTCCAATCTGGATTTTTCTTTTTCTTTTTTTTTTTTTTGAGAGGGTCCAGCTCTGTTGCCCAGGCTGGAGTGCATTGCCGCCATTTCGGCTCAATGCAACCTCCACTTCCCTGACTCAAGTGATCCTCCCACCTCAGCCTCTCGAGTAGCTGGGACTACAGGCATGCACTACCCAACATCCAGCTGATTTTTTATTCTTGTAGACACAAGGTCTCACTATGTGCCTGGGCTGGTTTCAAACTCCTGGCCTCAAGCAGTCATTCCACCTTGGCCTCCCAAAGTGCGGAGGTTATATAGGCGTGGGCCACCGCACCCGGCTAATTTTTTGTATTTTTTAAAAATTCAGTCTCCATAGAGACTGTCAAAAATCGCCAATGCTGACGACATTGCAAGTTGTCACAGACGGGTACTGGGAAAAGTTTTCAAGGAGTAATAACTGCGCCTCAGATAAACGCCAGTGGTCACTGTGCAAAGCTCTTTTATCACTGCCGCTGTGCAAAGCTCTTTTATTACTGCCGCTGTGCAAAGCTATTTTTTTTTAATTATTATTTTTTTAGAGATGGGGTTTTGCCATGTTGCCCAGGCTGGTCTCAAACCCCTGGACTCAAGCGATCCACCCAGCTCAACCTCCCAAAGTGCTGGGATTACAGGTGTGAACCATTGCACCTGGCCTGGCTTTTTTTTTTTTGAGAGGGAGTTTCACTCTTGTTGCCCAGGCTGGAGTGCAATGGTGCGATCTCAGCTCACCGCAACCTCTGCCTCCGAGGTTCAAGCAATTCTCCTGAGTAGCTGGGATTACAGGCACGTGCCACCACACCCGGCTAATTTTAACTTTGTATTTTTAGTAGAGAAGGGGTTTCTCCACGTTGGTCAGGCTGGTCTCGAACTCCCGACCTCAGGTGATCCGCCCACCTCGGCCTCCCAAAGTGCTGGGATTACAGGCGTGAGCCACCGTGCCCGGCCTCTGGCCTGGGATTTTTGACTATAGTTTGTTTCTTGTAATGTTTTTGTCTGGCTTTGATATCTGGCCTCACAAAACAGGTTGTGATGTATTCTCTTTACCTTATTTTTGTGTAAGATTCGTATTATTTATTCCTTAAATGTTTTTGTGGGTTTTGTAAAGACAGGTTCTCGCTCTGCCTCCGAGGCTGGAGCGCGGCGGCACGATCATAGCTCTCTGCAGTCCCCGATTCTGGGGCCCACGCAGTTCTCTCACCTCAGCTTCTCTAACAGCTGGGACTACAGGCGGGCACCACCACACCCAGCTAACTTTTTAACTTTGGGCCTGGACTTGTCTTTGTGAGAAGATTTTTAATGACTAATTCCTTTTTTTTCTTTTTTAACTTGATATAGGTCTATCAAGATTTTCTACTTTCTCTTGGTTAGTTTTTGTAATTTGTCTCTTTCTAGGAAATTGTCTATTAAATTGTCAAAATTTTTGGCATGAAATTGTTCCCTTATAATCCTTCTAATTTCTGTATGGCTATAGTGATGCTCAGTTCTAAAAAGATCATGTCGTGATTGGGCTGAATCCAGAGACTGTGAAGATCAGGTAAGTGTAGATTTTTAAAATTGTTTTAACATTAAAACATGTTTTTGTTTGTTTGTTTGGTTTGGTTTGGTTTGTTTTGGCTGGGTGCAGTAGCTCATGCCTATAATCCCAGCACTTTGCAAGGCCCAGGCTAGTGGATTGCTTGAGCCCAGGTGTTCAAGACCAACCAGCCTGGGCAACATGACGAAACTCTGTCTCTACAAAAAATACAAACATTAGCCGGGCATGGTGGCATATGCCTGTAGTCCCAGTTACTTGGGAAGCTGAGGTGGCAGGATTGCTTGAGTCAGGGAGGCAGGGGTCACAGTGAGCTGAGATTGCCCCACCACATTCCAGCCTGGGCAACAGAGCAAGACCCTGTCTCAAAAAAAAAAAAAAAAAAAAATCACTTACATAAGTTTAGTTAAGATATACTTAATGATATAAATGGAAACATTCTTTTTTTTTTTTTTTGAGGTAAAGTGTTGCTCTGTCGCCCAGGCTGGAGTGCAGTGGTGCGAGCTCGGCTCACGGCAACCTCCACCTCTCGGTTTCAAGTGATTCTCATGCCTCAGCCTCCCAACTAGCTGGGATTACAGGCATGCACCACCACACCTAGCTATTTTTTGTATATTTAGTAGAGACAGGGTTTCACCATGTCGGCCAGGCTGGTCTTGAACTCCTGGCCTCAGGTGATCCACCCACTTCGGCCTCCTAAAGTGCTGGGATTACAGGCTTGAGCCACCACGCCCAGCCAGGACATTCATTTTTAGATATGTGTGTGTGTTGTTATTCTTTGGAATACTTTTAGAAATAGAACCAAGGACCTAGATACTAATCAAAACCACAAGGAGATACTATTTCATATCAACCAGGATGGCTATGAGCAAAAGACAGGCAATAACAGTCTCGGTAAGGATGTGAAGAAGTTAGAACCATCATACATTGCTACTGTGAATATAAAATAATGTGCAGCTTTGGAAAACGGTTCTTCAAAATGTTAAACAGAATTACAATATGACCCAGAAATTATACTACTAGGTATATACCCAAGATAATTGAAAACATACATTAAGAAAAAAAAAACTATGTAGGGTACAGTAACTGACGCCTGTAATCCCAGCACTTTGGGAGGCTGAGGCGGGTAGACCACCTTAGATCGGGAGTTCGAGACCAGCCTGGCCAGCATGGTGAAATCCCGTCTCTGCTAAAAATACAAAACTTAGCCAGGTGGGGTGGTGCATGCCTGCAATCCTAGCTACTTGGGAGGTTGAGGCAGGAGAATTACTTGAACCCAGGAGGTGGAGGTTGCAGTGAGCTGAGATTGTGCCACTGTGCTCATCTGGGAGACAGAGAAAGACTCTGCCTCAAACAAAAACAAAATCAAAAACAGAAACAAACAAAAAACTTATACATGAAAAATGTTCACACACTTGCATTACTCGTAATAGCCAAAAAGTAGAAACAACCCAAATGTCCATCAATGAATGGATAAATAAATGGTATGTCCATACAGTGGAATCGTTTTATTTACCTATAAAAAGGAATAAAGTACTGACACATGCTACCACCTGGATGGATCTTGAAAACATTATGCCAAACAAAGGAAGTCGGACACA